TTTGCTTTCTGCATTAGAGTGGGATCATCTGTATATCTAGGGTTGTTGATATTTCTCTTGGCAATCTTGATTCCAGCTTATGACTCATTTGAAATGCCTGGCATTTCACATGATGTATTCTGCATCTAAGTTAAATAAGCAGGGTGACAATATACAGCTTTGGCATACTCTTTTGCCAACTTTGAACCAGTCAGTTGTTCCATGCCTGGTTCTAACTGTTGCTTCTTGAGCTGCATACAGGTTTCTCAGGAGACAGGTAAGGTGGTCTGGTATTCCCATCTCTTTGAGGTTATCCACACAGTCAAAGGCTTTAGTGTAGTCAATGAAGCAGATGTTTTTCTGGAATTCCCTTGCTTTCTCTATGATCCAATGAACGTTGGCAATTTCATCTCTGATTCCTCTGACTTTTCTAAACCCAGCTTGTACTGCTCAGTTCATGTACTGCTAAAGCCTAGTTTGAAAGCTACTGAGCATAACCTTGCTAGCATGTGAAATGAGTGCAATTGTGCAGCAGTTTGAACATTCTTTAGCACTGCCCTTCTTAGAGACTGGAATGAAAATTGATCTTTTCCCAATCCTGTAGCCACTGCTGAGTTTTATAAATCCGCTGACGTACTGAGCACAGAACTTTAACAGCATCATCATCTTTCAGGATTTGAAATGGCTCAGCTGGAATTCTATAACCTCCACTAGCTTTGTTTGTAGTAATGCTTCCTACAGCCCACTTGACTTCACACCCCAGGATGTCAGGCTCTAGGCGAGTGACCACACCATCATGGTTAATCCAGGTTGTTAAGACTTTTTTGTATAGTTCTTCTGTGTATTCCTGGCCTCTTCTTAATCTTTTCTGCTTCTGTTAGGTCCCTCCCATTTCTGTCCTTTATTGTGCCCATCCTTTTATGAAATGTTCCCTCAATAGCTTCAATTTTCTTGAAGGGATTTCTAGTCTTTCCCATTATATTGTTTTCCTCTATTTTTCTTTGCAGTGTTCACTTAAGAAAGCTTTCTCATCCATCCTTGTTATTTTTTGGAACTCTGCACTCAGTTGGGTATATCTTTCCCTTTCTACCTCGCCTTTCACTTTTCTTCTTTTCTCAGCTATTTGTACAGCCTCCTCAGGCAACCACTTTGCTGTCTTTCTTTTTTTTTTTTTTTTGTCCTTTGGGATGGTTTTGGTTACCATCTCCTGTGCAAGGTTACAAACCTCTATTTATAGTTCTTCAGGTACTCTATCTACCAGATCTGAAAGTGTGAAAGTGAAAGTTGCTCTGTCATGTCCAACTCTTTGTGACCCCCAGGAGCCTGCCTGGCTCCTCTGTCCATAGAATTCTCCAGGCCAGAATACTGGGGTGGGTAACCATTCCCTTCTCCAGGGGATCTTCCCAACTCAGGGATCTAACCCAGGTCTCCCACATTGCAGACAGATTCTTTACCATCTGAACCACCAGGGAAGCCCCAGATACTGGAGTGGGTAGCCTATCCCTTCTCTAGCAGATCTTCCCAACTCAGGAACCAAACTGGGGTCTCCTGCATTGCAGGCAGATTCTTTACCAGTTCAACTACCAGGAAAGCCAGATCTAATCCCTTAAATCTATCCATCATTTTCACTGTATAATCACAAGGAATTTAATTTAGGTCATCTCTGAATGGCCAAGTGCTTTTCCCCACTTTCTTCAACATAAGTCTGAATTTTGCAATAAGGAGTTCATGATCTGAGCTACTGTCAGCTCCAGGTCTTGTTTTTGCTGACTATATAGAGCTTCTCCATCTTTGGTAGCAAAGAATGTAATCAATCTGATTTTGATATTGACCATCTGGTGAGGTCCATGTGTAGAGTTGTCTCTAGTGTTGTTGGAAGAGGGTGTTTGCTATGACCAGTATGTTCTCTTGACAAATCTCTGGTAACCTGTGCATGCTTTATTTTGTACTCTAAGGCCAAACTTGCCTGTTACTCCAGGTATCTCCTGACTTCCTACTTTTGCATTCCAATCTTTTAAGATGAAAAGGACATCTTTTTTGGTGTTAGTTCTAGAAGGTCTTGTAAGTTGTCATAGAACTGGTCAACTTCAACTTCTTCAGCATTAGTGGCACAGACCTGGATTATTGTGATGTTGAATGATTTGCCTTGGAAGCAAACCAAGGTCATTCTGTTGTTTTTTGAGATTGCTCCTAAGTATTGCATTTCAGACTCTTGCTGCCTGTAAGGGCTACTCCATTTCTTCCAAGGGATTCTTGCCCACAGCAGTAGACATAATGGTCATCTGAATTAAATTTGCATATTCCCATCCATTTTAGTTCCCTGATTCCTAAAATGTTGATGTTCACTCTTGCCATCTCCAGCTTAACCATGTCCAATTTACCTTGATTCATGGACCTAACATCACAGGTTCCTATGCAATATTTTTCCTACAGCATCGGACTTTACTTTCACCACCACATACATCCACAACTGAGCATCACTTCTGCTTTGGCCCAGCCTCCTCATTCTTTCTGGAGCTATTAGTAATTGACCATTGCTCTTCCCCAGTAGCATACTGGAACCTTCTGATCCAAGGTGGGGTGGGGCTCATGTTCTGGCGTCGTATCTTTTTGCCTTTTCATACTGATCATGGGGTTCTCATGGCAAGAAAACTGGAATGGTTTGCCATTCCCTCCTCCAGTGGACCACACTGCATCAGAACTCTTCACTATGACTTGTCCATCTTCGGTGGCCCTGCATGGCATGGCTCATAGCCTCATAGCCTTCGCCAAGACAAGGCTATGATCCATGAAGGGCTCTACCAACATAATATCTGCTTAGTCAAAGTAACTGGTGAGAAGGTCACCGGAAAGAAATGGATTTGGAAATAGGGCAACAGGTTGGCCTGTAACTCTGTGGGGGTGTGCTCTCGGATCCCCACCAAAGCGCAGGGAGGCAATGATGGGAAAGTTCTGGCCCAAGCAGTGACTGAGGTTGGTGTAGGAAGGGCTGTCCAGCTATAGACTGCATCAACAGATTTTGTGCCTCCCAAGAAGACACAGTCTAGGAACTCCAGGGTGGTGTGGAATTAAAAATGGAGCAGTAGGGTTCCTCCACTTTGGGCAGCACCCAGAGGCTGGGTAGATGGCTAATTCCAGCTTGGACATGTTGCCATGGTCACGGACTGCTCTACCACCAGCAGGAGCAAGGTAAAGCCTGGGTGGAGCTACCCTCTGAGTGGGGGAAGATCACGAAATCCCACAGCCCTATGCACTGTTGTGTCAATTTCTGAATAGACTTCAGTATTGGATCAATGGTGATTTAATTTTTTTTTTTTTTTTTTTTACTGTGCAGCAGCCATAGGCATCTATGAGAGTGGGCTCCAGGTCCATAAAGTCTTGTGGGTGCATATTCACCAGTTCAATTTTCTGAAGGTGCTGCAGGAGTTGCTTTCATATTCTTAGGTTTTGATACTGAACTCAGTACCATGGGACTGGAACAGTACTCCATGCAGTGGAGTCCTCAACAACCAGTCTGGACCTTATAAAAAGAGGTGCCCTCAGTATAGATATGGTCTGATAGATGGAGATGTTAGAAGGTCAGTTTCTGCAAACACACTGCAAGTCTCTAGCAACACCATGAATTCCTGGAACAGGGCTTTTATATGTTCTACTCTTCCCTAACGTATTTATGAATTGGATCAGATATAATGAAAACACTTATCAGTTATTGATATGCCCCAAAAGATAGTAAGTTGCCTTTCCCCCCCTCAATCACAGAGGACGCCATCCCTATCCTCAAGGAACTTCCAGTGTAGCTGGAAGAATATTCAATAATGTCCGTTAAAAAGTCACAACAACTAGACAAGGCTGAAAATCTGAGTATCAGATGAGTGCCAGAAACTCTCTGGGTTGGGCGGCTCAGAGGAGAGAGAAAGAGGCTACAGAGAGAGAGTAGAATTAGGGAAGGAGAGCAAGGAACTGAATCTAAAATAAAGGGTAATATATTACAGTGTGTGCGTGATGCACGCTAAGTTGCTTCAGTCAGGTCCAACTCTTTGTGACCGTATGGACTGTAGCCCGCCAGGCTCCTCTGTCCATGGGATTCTCCAGGCAAGAATAGTGGGGTGAGTTGGCATCTCCTCCACCAGGGGATCTTCCTGACCCAGGGATCAAACCTGTGTCTCCTGGGTCTCCTGCATTGGCAGGTGGGTTCTTTACCACTAAGGCCACCTGGGAAGCCCAATATATTAGAGTAGATTCCAGAAAGCGGGAGCCTTGTTTCAATCCATTGTTTCTTAATGCCTAGAAAAGAGTGGTTGGATGGCATCATGGACTCAATGGACATGAGTCTGAGCAAACTCCTGGAGATAAAGAAGGACAGGGAAGCCTGGAGTGCTGCAGTCCATAGGGTCGCAAAGGCTGAGACACCACTGAGGGACTAAATACCAGCAACAAAGAACAGAGTGGGCACATAGTGAGCAAATGGTAAATAGGAAAGAATGAAAGGTAGGGAGTGATAGCAATACAAAAGCAGGCAGTATCTGATGGCTAAAAGACTTGAAAACAGGTCAAGAAGTTTTGATATTTACATTAGTGATGCCCCCTCAAGAACTCCCTCAAGAACTCTTAAGTATCTAAACGCTGACTCTTCTCACCCGTCCCTGTGCACAGAGGGCGGGATGGACGGGGGCTGCTGGTATGGGTCACTCCTGTTAACTCCAGGGTCTGGAGTAGTGCCCGGCATTATCAGTGAATATCGACTGACTAAAAGGCCAGTCGCCCTCTCCCTCTGGCCACCCACCTGCGGGGAAGGGCCGGCCGAAGGCCACTCAGCTCCTCCATCAACGCATTTCCATTAGAGAATGCAACATTTACTGAACGCTGGCCGGGCTCTTTCTGGGCAAGTCGCGCCTCAGTCCCCAAGGTACTGCTAGGTACTAGTCCAGTGCCCAGCACCTGACACTCAATATCAGCGGATGATGCATTAATCAGTCATTATTGAAGCTGGTTACCACCTAACGCTGCCGAACGAGCCTCACCGGTTTCCCGCGGGTGGACGGTACCGCCTAGCGCTCACAGCAAAGCGCGTCAGACAAGATGACGTCGGCGTGGCTGGTGGGTGGGGCGGCTTGGCCCGGCACGCGCACGCGCGCTGTCCTGTCCTGCGAGTGGGCGGGCGACGCATGCGCGGGTGGCGGCCTTAAGGCGGCCGCGGCCCCAAGCATCCCAGTCGGCCTGTCAGCCGGCTAGGAGGTACTGTCAGGCCGTCGCGCGACAGCCATGGCGGCAGAGGAGGAGGAGGTGGACTCGGCGGACCCGAGTGAGAGGTCAGTGCAGCGGGGGCTGCTTCTGGCTCGGGCGCGCGGGCAGTGCTAAGGACTCTAACCTGCCCAGTCGTTCGGTCGTCCCGCCCCGGCGCGAATCCCGCGGCGCGGGGGAGAGAAGCCTCTGAGCCCGCTCTGCCCTCAGCGGGCGCCCTTCGGGTCTGAATGTGACCCCGGCTGCGCCAGGAGGCCGTTTGACCCCCACGCCGATGGGTCCCGCGGGGTCGTGTGAGCGGCTCCGCCGGGCGGCTGCGGAAGTGGCTGGGCACCCAGCCATGCTGAGGTCAGTTTTGCGGCAGAGACGGCTGCGGATCCCAGCCCTGCCCCAGCTGGACCCACGGGCGCTGAGCGGCGTCGCTGCACTTGACTCGAGTCACGGGAAATGGCCGAGTCACTGTCCGCTTCCGAGCGCGGCTTCCGACCTCAGTTAAGCGCTGCGCTCGGTGCAGCCGGGAGCGAGGGCGAAAGTGCAGTCCGCCCGAGTGTCTCCGGAGCCTGAGGAAGGGGCGGCGCTTCCTCGGGGCAGTGGTGGACCGACAGTCCAGGTTCAACCCAGAAGCCGCGGGTCGGAAGGGGCTGTCGGGGGGAAAGGGGCTGGGGGAGTGAGTCTAAGGCTTTAGTTTTCAGAAAATGTGTAATTTACTAGATAGTTTACAGAAAGAAAGTTAACACGATCTGGATAGCAAGTTCACTCAATAATCTCTCAGAGATCTTCCTTTGCTTCCAAGTGTTCTGGCGTTACTGGAGAAATGTGTGTGTTTGCTCTTCAGAAGACACATGTGTAGAAACCTTTATGAAAGTGGGAGAAAGATGTCTAGTGGGAAGCTTTTTTTAAAAAAATTTATTTATTGAAGTATAAGTGATTCGCTCTATTGTGTTCAGGTGTACATTAAAGTGATTCAGTGCAAAAAAAAAATATATATATATATTCTTTTCAGATTCTTTTCCATTATAGGTTATTACAAGGTATTGAATATAGTTCACTGTGCCATACAGTAGGTTGTCGTTTATTGTTTTACTTATAGTGGTGTGTATCTGTTAATCCTAAATTCCTAATTTATCCCTCCCCCCTTTCCCTTTGGGTATTCATAAATTTGTATTCTATATTTGAGTCTGTTTCTGTTTTGTAAATAAGTTAATTTTTATCATTTTTTTTATTCCACATGTAGGGAATATCCTCTGATACCTGTCTCTCTCTGATTTTGTTCTCTTAGTATGATTCATCCATGTTGCTGCAAATGAGATTTTTCATTCTTTTTTTGAGGTCAGTGTTCCCTTACGTGTATGTGTGTATATATACACACCACATTTTCTTTATTCATTCATCTGTTGATGGACATTTAGGTTACTTTCCTGTCTTCCAGGACTTACAAATAGTGCTACTGTGAATATTGGGGTGCATATATCTTTTGAAATTAGAGTTTTCATCTTTTCTAAATATATCCCCAGGAGTGGGACTGCTGGATCATATGGAAACTCTATGTTCTTTTTAAGGAACCTCCATGCAGTTTTCCATAGTGGCTGCACCAGTTTACATTCCCATCAACAGTTAGGAGGGTTCTAACGAGAAACTTTTTTGATATACAAATGTATTGTTTATTTTATTGTTTTCTAGTAGTTTCATGCACTTAGCAGTAGATGAAGAGCAGTTAATTAGTGAAAAGATTACATTGCTGTGAACATTATTGTCTTATTTCTCAAAGCCAGTCATTCAGATTGGAAAGTAAATAAACCTATATGCTAATCCCCGTATGTGTTTAATATTTTGACAGCAGTTCTACTTCAGATGCTAGGAGAAATTTGTGTTATGAAACAACCTAAATGACAGAGGATAATATAAAGTCCCATGATAGATGGGGTGTTTGGAAAGATGACAGAAGGGAAAAGTTGTGAAATACTAGAAACTAGCTTCTTCCCTTGACTTTTGTTTATGTGAGTCACTCACTTCACAAGTCCATTGTTTTGATTTGTCGATGAATTTACTTGTTGAGGTAAGATGCCTAATGTTGTGTAATCACAAGTAGGAACCTGTTAGCTGTCACCATCTAGTTCATCACAACATTTTTGGCTCTGAGACTACTTTTATGGGGTCTGTTGGCCTCCATGTTGTTGGGAGGCTTGCGAGTCCAGGGTACAACCAGGAAAGGAATTTGCCATTTGGGGTGACAGCAGGAGGTCCCTGTGGATAGAGTATAAACTATCCTTAGCAGCTGACCAGTCATAGTCCCTTGTTAGAGGTGGACTTCTTTGGTGTTCTTGGCGGTACACTTGAGCAGTATCCAGTATATAAACTGCTGTGGCCTTATGAACTCTACTAAGCAAGTACCCGCTTATGCTGGGTGTTCCCTAATGTAGTCATATTAAACTTTAAGGTTGAGCCTATGTGCTAGGTATTACTATACCCATTTTTCAGGTGCAACTGCAGCTGGGACTGCAGCTGGCACTCCACCAGTGAATAGTGGGAGTGGATTGGAACTCCCTCGGTATCTGGATTTAGTCTAAGGAGTTTTCCCACATCTCTGCTTGGTTCCCACTGGGATTGGATTTACTAGGATGTTTAGTTCTTATTTCCTTTGCTTCACTGATACTTTGTTATTTAGTCCTTCATTGATACAGAGCTCACTTCAGTTTTTTTAATTGGTTAATCAGCAGTCAAGAGCAAAGTGGGTTGTGAGAAAACTGGAGTCTTTGAATCAAGTTCCTTATTCTTAAGACATTTCAGATCTAGATGGGGCAATGATATTAACAAAGGAAACAATTATAAAACGGTCATTTTAAGGCTTTTTGTTCTTCACTTGGTAAATCGTGTCCAACTCTTTGCAGTCCTTTTAACTGTAGCCACCCCAGGTTCCTCTGTCCATGGGATTTCCCAGGCAAGAATACTGGAGTGAGTTGCCATTTCCTTTTCCAGGGGTTCCTCCTGACTCAGGAATCAAAGCCATGTATCCTGGTTTGCAGATGGATTCTTTACCACTGAGCCACGCTGAGAAACCCCAAAGGCTTTTTGGATCATTTGATTCTTATCCTTTCCTTCCTAGTGCAGACGGGCATGCCTCAGAGCCATTTGGTTTTCAACATCTAATCCTTTTCAGTTGCAGTACAGTTGAGATGCCTCAGAGCCATTTGGTTTTCAACATCTAATCCTTTTCAGTTGCAGTACAGTTGAGATGCCTCAGAGCCATTTGGTTTTCAACATCTAATCCTTTTCAGTTGCAGTACAGTTGAGAAAGCAATATGTAACAAGAGTTAGGTAGTTCTGTTAATTGCTGCAAGGGTTGTCCTAGAGATCGTTTAAGTATCAGTTGGGTTTAGAGGAAAGCTGTCATGGAATTGCCTAGTTGCAGAGTAGAGCACAGACTAGCCAACTTGCAGTGATGGTCCAGAGTTATTGCTAAATTTTCAGGATTTTTGCCAACAGTTGGCAGCTTAAAATCAATCATGGTAGTTGTACTTACATCATGAAAATCATCAAATAGTATAAATAAGGTATTTTTCCCCCTTCATCTCCAGTGGGTTTATCCTACTGGATTTTCATTAGAGTTTGATTGTGTTTTTTTGCCTTGGAGATAAGATAGAGAAATCCACTCTCCTATCTTTTAAAAGACTTTTCAGGTCAGTGACCCCTTTCTGTTGCCATCTCCCCTTTCCAAATCCTTACCTCTTGACTTCTAAAAATCACAGAACTCCCCAGTGTTACATTCCAGTGGACTTCTGTTTTTCTTAATACTTAACCTTTCTTGGGTCCTTTTTAGTGTTTGACACTAAAGATAGCTACTCCCTTTGGAGACTTTTATCAGACCTTCTACCTCTTATGACATTTTGCTTCTTGTCTTACCTGAGACCAGTAGTTAATTTTGTTTTTTACCCCCATTCACTCTCTGCTATTCTGTCTCCATCTGTGTTTTCATTGTGTTGTTTACTCACAACTCCTTGAGCTATCCTGACTGTAGGGAGGGCTCAGAATTCCTTAGGATGAAGCCTTCTTCAGTACTCTAGTGATGTTTCTAATTGGGTATCAAATGTTTGCAACTGGTTTCTCAAATGTAACAAGTCCCAACTAGGATCTCATTTGCACCTCCTTCCCTTGAGCTAAATCATACAAAAAGCTCAGTGTTCCCCTTGACTTCCTGTTTTTATTGGGGTACTTACATATTACCCAGATAATCATGATGCTGTGATCACTCACCTAGAGCCAGACATCCTGGAATGTGAGGTCAAGTGGGCCTTGGGAAACATCACTACAAACAAAGTTAGTGGAGGTGATGGAATTCCAGTTGAACTATTTCAAATCCTGAAAGATGATGCTGTGAAAGTGCTGCAGTCAATATGCCAGCAAATTTGGAAAACTCAGCAGTGGCCGCAGGACTGGAAAGGGTCAGTTTTCATTTCAATCCCAAAGAAAGGCAATGCCAAAGAATGCTCAAACTACCGCACAATTGCACTCATCTCACACACTAGCAAAGAAATGCTCAAAATTCTCCAAGCCAGGCTTCAACAGTATGTGAATCATGAACTTCCAGATATTCATGCTGCATTTAGGAAAGGCAGATGAACCAGAGATCAAATTGTCAACATCCTCTGGATCATTGAAAAAGCAAGAGAGTTCCAGAAAAACATCTACTTCTGCTTTATTGACTATGCCAAAGCCTTTGACAGTGTGGATCACAACAAACTGTGGAAACAAGAAGCAACAGTTAAAACCAGACATGGAACAGACTGGTTTAAAATTGGGANTGAAGCTGAAACTCCAATACTTTGGCCACCTGATGCGAAGAGCTGACTCATTTGAAAAGACCCTGGTGCTGGG